ACCTCCGGGTGGGGACACGCCTTACCCCCTCCCTCTCCCCGTGTGTCGATTTCAGGATTACAGATCCTTTCTCTTCCTATGACTTCCTATTTCATGGGAAAACGGGAGTAGGATCGATGGGAACCCCCTCGAGTCCAAGCCTAATGAGCTCTAAGAGAATAAAGGGCCGATTGAATCAAGCTGTTGTGTAATGTGCAAAGCCCTGAATAATACAGGTTTGACACACTTCCGAGGTGAGAGGCTGTGGACTCCTCAGACGTCTGCACTAATTCTGTGCTTCCCCTGTGTGGTGTCGTACCAGAATCTTCCTGCCCCACATCTGTGCTCGACTCAGTTTGCCTGCTCTCTGATCTCTCTCCTCAGCCCTCGCTTCTCCGTCCTGGGGCAGATTCCCGGCACTGAGATCTACCTGGACGTGGAGACGTACTCTGAGGTGAGGACAGGAACCGCTGAGAGGATTCAGCCCCCCCCAGCCAGTGTGGCCGTTAGTCGCTTATTGATCCCAACATCTCACCCAGCTCTGCGCTTGAAAGAAGCCAGGAGATCGGCTTCAGCACATTGGCTGACCAACTTGTCCCCCACTCCCACCACCCTTTGAGTAAAGAAGTGTCTCCTCTTCTCACTGCCACGTCAGGCTGCGGGGGGGGGGGTTGGGGTGGGGTGTTAGACGCCCTGCCTCTGTGACACGCTCCTGTCTGCTCCTGTTCTCCAGGCCAGGGAGATCCCAGGCATCACCATCTTCCACTCCTCCGCCACCATGTACTTCGCCAACGCCGACATGTACCTGGAGGCGCTGAAAGAAAAGGTGAGCCTCCCTGACCGACTCCGCCCGCCTGCCGCTCACTTCCGGAGCATTCCCGGAGCTCCAGGTGCTTTATTGGCATGACCGATGAGTGCAATCAGTGTTGCCAAAGCAAACAAAAATAAAATTTACATGAAACAAAAAAACTACAGACATTTACAACAATGACACATAATAAAATATTACATATCCTCTAAACACATACAATTTCTTGCATGAGGACTTTTGTCTTTTCATGTACCCCCACTTGCATGAGACATTCAGACACAGAGAAGCTTAGGGTCAGCCATTTATGAGGGGTTAAGGGCCTTACTCAGGGGCCCAACGGAGTAGGATTCCTCTGCCAGTCGCGGGATTTGAACCGGCAACCTTCCAGCCACAGTGCCAACGCTCCGCCCACAACTCACTGTCCGCGGTTTCTCTGTGCCCAGAGTGGGATCGACATCGGAAAGCTGCTGATCTACAAGAAGAAGCTGGAGGCCAC